CCCACTGCTTGGGGTTTTTTCCATCCATCTAATAGTTTGTGCCTGGTGGTTGTAGGAACAAGAAATTGTTGTACTGTGATGAGCAACATCACAGACCATCATGTAGTACTTGTCATGCCATCTAGGTTGGTCAGTAGATACTGCCTTTGAGTTGCATAAATCTTTGTCAAAAACTTAGTTATATTAAACCAGAAGTCACCAGACAAGGGGAATAGAGCTGCTGTATGCAGACTGTTGTGTTGAATGGTTCTGGTTCTTTCCTGTGCAGCATTTACTTCAGTTAGTGATGCTAGAAACTGGGTATTATGGAGAGGGGTAGATAGTAAAGTTATAGGTTAGTGGTTGCTGCAGAAAGCCATGCTGCTTTAATCAGTCACATCATTCATTCATTTTGGAGTGGCTAATGACGCTTGTTCCTTTCTGCACTGTTCTGTGTCTTCTGAAACAGGGGTCCTCCTTTATAACCCTTATTGCCTCATCAGGTGAATTATTTCTTGTTCTTTAACTACCCACACCTTTCCTAATGTCTCCCCAATCTGAGCAGCAGCCATATACTTATGCATACTAATCTCTCCCAGCTGTGGAGAGCTGTGGATGCCCCATCCCTGGAGGCATTCAAGGCCAGGCTGGATGTGGCTCTAGGCAGCCTGATCTGGTGGTTGGCAACCCTGCACATAGCAGGGGGATGACTAGATGATTACTGGTCCTTTTCAACCCAATCATTCTATAATTCCATTCTATGACTTGAACACAGGGGGCTTTTAGGCACTACACCAGTGCTGGATGTCACTAGCAATTACACCTTAAAACAAGTCTCTGACAAGAGAAGCACTGTACACAAATCAACTATTTCTCAAATACTGAGGAGGTATTTCTGCCCCTGCTGTCATGTGATGGATACATTCCAATTTATTAGGTTGTCAGTGAAATACATGGACTCATTATCAAAATTTGTTCCATATGAATTAAATAGACAGTTTGGGCACATGCATTAAATATTTGAAAGTAATAATAAAAAGTCTCCCAGTAGTCTTCCCATAAAAGCTGTGAAATACTGAGGCTGAATAGTCTTAAAAACAGATGACAAAAATGCACAAAAGCATGTCTGTCTGGAAATTTAAATAGAGCATCATTAATAACCAATAGCACAAAATTTGCATGTATTGTAACATACCAGTACCAGTGGTTCTGGGATAGGGTATCTGTGATGTTCCAGTATAATGTGGTGGTGTTTTGCTAACTTTTATTATCTAGCTACAAAATGTGAATTCATGAGTAACTCTGAAGGAGAAAAAATCATGATGTATTACTTACATTAGAGCAAGCTCTACCTCTAGGACAAGGATCTTAGTTTGAATTAATATCTGTTTGAGATTTCTCATGTTTCCAATATTTTAATTTTCCTACTCTTGTGCTCTCAAACCAGGAACCGTGCCACAACTGTATCAAAACTGTGCCAATGTGTCAGAGTCATTTTCCAGAGATGAGTGAAAATGGAAATGAAGTCCTTGGGGTTACATCAGCAGTAAATTTATCTCAGGGCAGCATTAGGGGAATGCTTCCAGAAGTGGAACCTTTTCTGCAATAATCTTGCTCTTGTTAAATCTACCAGAAGAATAGTTAGCTCTACTGATTTGCTGTAGAAACAGAATTTTTCTTAGGACGGCTCTCAGTTTGACCCTATGAAAAGCAGAAAATTTCCCAAATTAAGGAATAGAAACATGTACAAAGGCGCTAATGAGACCTTATCATGCAAAGAAAAGATGTTAGATTTGTATTGCTGATGCATTTAGTAAGCAAACATTAACATCTTATATCTCAGTGCGTGCAGCTAGAGGAAGCTTGATCTCCATATAGAACAGTGATGGAAGTTTTATCTTAGGAAAATAACTTAAATTTTGTAAGGTCAAATAAATACTGTTTCAAACACAAATGAGACAATTTATTTCCTGTGACAGTGCCCCTAAATTATGAATATTTAACATCTTCCTTTACAAGTTGAACGAGTATGTGGTGTTTTTTTTTCCCCCTTGTCAAGCTGGTGGTTTAATCAAATTATGTAAATCCTCTTCAACAATGTCAAATCAGTTTTGAGTCTTATGATATGTAGTGTTGGTCAAATAAAAAATCAATTCATTTGTAGATCAAAGCAGTTCTATAGGAACTCTGACAAAAATTAACCATGTCATTTATTTTTACTACCATTCTTACACACATCCTCCTCTCTTCCCAGGGCCCTTGCGAGTTCTCAGCTCAGGGAGGCTTCTTGAGCTACAAGTTGAAAATCCCAGCTCTCCTACTGGTGGAGCTATACAGAACTTGGCTGACATAACAAGGCTACTGTTTGTTAGACATTTAAGTCAGGCCAAGTTTCATGTGTTCATGGCAGAAATATTAGAGCTGTTGCTCTTTGGAGCAGCCATCCAGATTTTCTTATACCTCAAGCTAAAGGATATAACCAGTGGCTGCTAATGGAAGCATTGTGCTGTTCTGACAAAGGACTGAGACTGTGCACTTTACATAAGGTGGGGTACTATAGGAGAAAGAAGTATCGGTCTGTTCTGTATGTGTGTGCAGAGCAAAGCAGAGTCTCACTGATCCTACTAATCTACTTGTGCTTACCCCTGGCCAGTGATAGACACTGCGTTCAGCAGAGTAACAACTATAAAGAAATGTGGTTTGGGTTTGTTTGGATCGTTTGGAGGTGGGGCTTTCTTTTACACACCAACGAGATTTGGTATGTGCTACAGACTGATGTAATCACTGGAAATGATAACTATTAATGTGTTTATGCTGCATACAACAAACAGGAGCAGATGTAAAGAGTATTTCTGTTTATTCTTAAGCAGTGTTTCATATGTTCATAGAGCAAAAAAAAGTAATGGAGTTTGGGCGAACCACTGTTGAAAGTGGTTTTAACACCTGTACTACATCTGATGTTAACATGGTATTTCTGAGAAGCTAATAATGCAAATGACTGATTAAATACTAAGTGCAAAGAAATAGAAATGTTTGAAGATAGGATTTGTACCTGAATGGCACATCGATAAGATTCAAATCCTACTATACGCATTGTGTGGGTAACATTATGGTTTTATAATCAGTAATACTTTTGCATGATATAAATTGAGTAGTTTCTAAGATCTCACCACAGAATGAACTCAATAACTTCTAAGTTTAACATTACAGTACAAAGCTTGCATCTCTGCTGTAAGCATTCTGTTGCAAATGATTGTCCATATTTCTACCACAGCAGGCAAAATTGTGAAAAAAGAAAATAATGTAGTATTTAATGGTAAATGATATGATTTTCCTCTTACCTTTGCTTTCAAATATGGACATACACAATGAAACTTACAACTTCAGAATTTCAGAGTTAAGATCTTCAATAAGTACTCATATACTAATTTATCAAAACTTTTTAAAATTCTCCAAAAAGTCTGATTAATTTATCATATTATATACAATAATCATACCTGATTATTTCGTTCATAAAACATGATGTAGATTCGATTACTAATTACATTTATTTTTTTCCTACTTTTCCTGTCCTTTTCATTCTGAATGATGTGCTCTGGTGATGATTGCTGTATGCAAATTTCTAGCACAGCTGCACTGAAGATGACTCATGAGTTGTCTCATTGACCTCAGCTACCACCTCGTCAGGCCTTCATCCTCACTGTTCTTGTCTTCCAACACAATGAAATCTGCCATTTTCCCTTATCAGTAACACTGTAGAACTGCATGTAGCACCTCACATATCTCTGCTGAAAGGTTCTACAGGAATGCCAACCTTGCCCCATAGTCATACTGTGGCATACAATATATGTAAACTCTCCAAACCTGCTCATTTGTCATTTTCACAAGCACTATATGACTTTCAGGAGTGATTTTGAGAAAACAATATTTGTTCAGGCATGAAAAATGTTACAGTAATCAGCAGTGTTTTTTTGTGTCTTCAATTAAACATGACATGACATGGCAATCGTAAAAATCGCAGAATGGCCTGGGTTGAAAAGGAGCACAATGTTCATCTAGTTCCAACCCCCCTGCTATGTGCAGGGTTGCCAACCACCAGACCAGGCTGCCCAGAGCCACATCCAGCCTGGCCTTGAAATGCCTCCAGGGATGGGGCATCCGCAGCCTCCTTGGGCAACCTGTTCCAATGTGTCACCACCCTCTGTGTGAAAAACTTTCTCCTAATATCTAACCTAAACCTCCCCTGTTTCAGTTTAAAACCATTCCACCTTGTCCTATCACTATCCATTCATGTTATACGTTGCTCCTTTCGTTTTATATTTTAAGTTCTGGAAGTTAGGGCTATGTGAAACAGTTCCTTACAGAATATCAGGAATATATGTCAGAGGGGCTTCCTTTTTTGTCAGTACCATGCATACAACTAAGGATGTGTGGAAAACTACACTGTCATCTCTGCACTGTGGTCATGCAGTGTAGTACTGGATCATTAGTAAAGTCACAGGAACACCAATGAACAAAGTGAAGTTGCTGCACGTTGTATAGAATTAACTTATGCAGTAGAACTGTTCCTTTAGAGAAGGCTTCTAAAAAACAGCAGTTTCCTTGGCTTTTCATTTAATGCAGTGATTTTAAGAACCAATGCACGTTTATTTGTAATTCCTTGAGTTATGAGTTGTGCAGTGGGAGATGAGCTCTGTAAGTGATGATATTCATATTGTCTTTATACATATACTGAGCTTTTATTATCATTGTTTCATTCTCATAAGGACATGATGTAGCCCATATCTGAAGTCTCCAACTCATGTAATATGGAAATATTAACAGAGGCCTTATGTGTGAAATGCTTGACCATGCAATTGTATAAATGTGGCTTGCTCCAAAATAGTATCAATAACCAATGAGATTACATGCAATGATGAAAATGGTGCTAATACAGTCTTGCATGTTTTCCCTGTACTTCTTCTCCGTCACCCTTTTTGACTGTATCTTCTGAATTCTCCCTTCGTTTTCTTCCAACAAAGGCAAATATGCCATGAGGGATCTGGTCCACCGACTGCCAGGCGCTAACAACAGCAACAGCTCAGCAAGCAAGGCCATGTCTGATGACACCGTTACTGCCATTTGCTGCACGCTGCATGAAGTCATCACTAAAAACATGGAGAATGCCAAGGCCTTACGAGACGCAGGCGGCATTGAGAAACTGGTTGGCATATCTAAGAGTAAAGGAGACAAGTATGTTTTGCAAATCCTCTTGCACCCTTTTTATCATCTCCAGTAGTTCTAACTAGTTCTTAATGTGTTTGCCTCCTCTCTGCAATCGTGAGTTGAATACTTTGGTTTCATCACAAATCATGTGCCCAGCGTGGAAGGTAACAAGAAACCATGGCAGTAGCAAAAGCCTCTGCTATAGCCTCTTTTTGAGGTAGCATCAGTAGGCCCGTGCACTGTAAGAAAGAGTAACTATCTCCAGTAACTGCTACCTCAAAGCACTTCCAGAAGATCCTGGTAAACATTAGGGGCCAGAGTTTTTGGACTGCACTGTACAGGGATCCCATGAAAGGAAGGGATGTTGCTGTAGTTCTCTTACTGCTCCTCCTGCTCTGGTCTTCATCCTTCTTTTGCCTAACTCAGCCTGATTCTCGTATTTGTCAGTCTGCAGAAGTATAATGCAATGGGACTATGGCAGTTTGAAAACAAAAAGCCTTCACTATAGTGTAGAAAACTTCCATCAGTGCACCTGCTGGAAGCTGTCATCACAAAGCCTACTGCAGCATCGGAGCTCTAAGAGAGCCCCCACAAAACCAGGCCACAACGTAAAGGAAAGATTTATGCACCCTACATTTGGTTTGAGAACACCTCTGATTGGAGCATTACCAATATAATTTAATCATATTTCTTTTTCTCTGTTGTCACTCTTTTGTTTCATACCAAATTCATTACTGAAGCATTCTCACACTGACTGTAGAGGGCAAAAAGTGTGGGAGCTCCCATGCTCTTCTAATTCATTTACATTTGCACTATTTATTATTATTAAATCTATTTGATTTTTTAATGCATTTTTGCTAGATCAAATGTGCAGGTTGCAAACAAGTTCACATCCATCTCTCATAAGATGTGTCTCTCTTCAAAATAAAGCATTTGTCTACCTACCTATTCATTATCTGGCAGAGTCCATTAATACCTGTTGAGTCTGGAATTTTCGGAGTATCACAGTCTTAGGAGGATCTATGAATATAGTTCCCTAAGTATTTAGCCCAGGTACTGTTAAATAATTATACAATACCTTCCAAAATAGTGATATTTGTCCTCATCCAAAGTACTTTGATGTGCAGTCAGATGTTCTTATTGTTACAGGAAACAAAACTGTAGAACAAGAAAACCTGTCAGCTCACAGTGACACTAATGCTCATTTTAAGTAGAAGTTTTATTTTTCGACTCTAAGAATGTTAGTATTGTTTACCATTGCTTTGGTTTGCTTTCTTGCAGATAACTCACTGTTTAAAAATCAGAATTGTTAGTTGTTGGACTGATAGGAAGTTATTGCATTCTCATACAGTAAAAAACTTCAGTATGAATTTGTCTTTTCTGGGATGAAGCATCTGTTTCGGCAAGTGCAGGACCCTGGCCTGGCCATGCATCATGGTGCAAGTGAACACAAAAGTGTCAGTGCTCCAGACTGGCCTCACTAGCCTTTGGAACGTGCCCATGGTTGTCACACATTCCCAACATGAGACAGCAAGAAAGGACTGGTGTTTATAAGGTCGTATTGGCCACACCCAAGTCTTTACCTAGCTCCCATTTCTCCTCGGTATTCACATTGTGGTTGATGCGTTTATGGATACTCCATGGTTATTCCAAGCTACCAATGCCTCTCTAGCCAGTGTGGCTGGGAGTATAATAAAAACAACAATTCTCGATATTGTTTATCAAATTCCTATTTATTCATCAGTTACCCACTTATTATTGTATTCTTGATGAGAAATGGGGAAAAAAGAAGAAAAACACCAGCTAAATAGTAGGAAAATGCTGCATAAGATAGTAGACTCAGTTATGCCATGAACGTCATTATTCCACCTTTACTCTCAGCGTCCCCGTGGCCATTGTCAGAGGTCACAGCACACTGCAGAACAGCTAAGAAGACTTGCTGCCCAAACCAGTAACATATTCTGCTGGTTTTCTGGTTTTCTTTTTGATTTGCAGTCCTCTGACTTTTCTGAGTAAAACGTTAATCTCCTCAGTGGCTACCCCAAACCTGATCATTCCTCACTTCAGACTTTGGCTTTCCTAGGTTTTCCAGTACTTTGCTGCTTTATACAAAATACTGGTACAGTATAGGAGCTTAAGTACGTAATGTATGCTCCCTTAATGGCCTGGGTTTTCTTCCCAGTCCCTTTCTTTTCAACTGTATTTCATTGAGCTAAATGCTCTTAGGGTTCTTGTGTTGCTTTAGGTGGAGTTTTTTTTTTGTTCTTGTTTTGTTTAGATTTTAAACATTACATTTCCCAAGAGGTAGATATGAATGAGTGAAACAATAGTTAAGAGCCTCTTTCAAAACCTGCTTGAAGAGAAAGTTCATGTGAAGTTATTTGTGATTTTTAGCATAACATCAATAGCAGCCGTCATTAATAGTATGTTGAGTGTAAGATGCAAATCCTAGTTGGGATTCCCAGTGAAATTCACTGTGACTTTTATAATTAGTTGTATTTCTGCATCTGGACTGCCCTGCAGATTGAAACACAGTGCTCACCACTCATCTAGAGTGTTTCTCCTGGCTGCTGCACAGGGGCGCATAATGCCATCTGTCATGACTTGAAGTCTGGTCATTTACAGAGAAAGAAATTCGGGCTCTAAATTGTCCTGGATGCCAAAAGTTTTAGCCAGGACATTCTCTTAGATGTACATAATGCCAGCCAGTTCCTCAACAGTGTTCCTGTTCCTGCCTCTCCCATTCCTTTTGCTGTGCTCTCAATATGAGTTCTCATTCTCACTATGAGAAATACACATTTTGCTCCTCACTGAATAGTTAGTACGTAGTGCTTGCTTGTAAGAACATTGCTTTCTGAGACGCCAACAAAAGATCTTAATATACATTGATACCACAAATTCATTTGTGGGCTTAAGATCATAGTAATGCACTTGAAAATTAGGATGAATGGAGTCTGGAACCCAGCACTCTCTTTCTCACTTTTTTGTTTTTTCTCTCTTTTCAATATATGTGTGTAACAGGCATTCGCCAAAAGTGGTGAAAGCAGCATCTCAGGTCCTCAATAGTATGTGGCAGTACAGAGATCTGAGAAGTCTCTACAAGAAGGTAAGGCTTGAGTTTTTTTCCAGATTTGTCATCTTTCATGTGATTACCAGAACTTGGGTGCTGAGAGACTTTAGGGGCCAAAACTTCTATAAGAACTGAAAATTCACCTGGAGTTTAAAATTTCTCAGACTTGGAGCTGTAGATTTTTTCTTTTCCCAATTCTACTTTTAATATAGGAATATTTCCTTCGGGGAAAAAAAAAAAAAAAAGGAAAAAGAAAGAAAAAAAAAAGCATTGTGATGAAAATGGGTAATGAATTTGATTTTCTAAAGAATTCATTCAGAGACTGCTTGATCTGGCAGCCCTGGAGAGTGAAGTCTTCTGTACATAGAACAAACCTATGCAGGCTCTCCTACTGTTTCTTTCTTTCTTATACCTCCTCATACTGTCCAGAGGAGGTTACCAGATTTTCAGCCCTTCAGCTCCCAAATTTCCTCATGAGATTACCAACAAGAGTATCTGAAGATGTGACCCTTAGGGACCACTTGTGAAGCTGAGCTGAAACTTGATAGCTTCACTTCCAGTCAGCTGGCAGACAGTAGCATCAAGTACTTGGTTTTTAGACAGTCTGTAGAGGGTACCACATAATTCCCACAGGCCTGCTAACCTCTTAAAAATGAATTGCAGTGCTGGTAATGTGATCCTGTGAAAGAAATTTCCTATAGTTTTTAAAAATAAGTGTCTACTTAGTAAACGACAGTGTATCCAAGTATTTATTGTGGAATATTTCCAAACTGAATTACACCATGGTTATACAGTATAACTACACTGCTTGTGTAATTATCATTCTGCAGGCTTAGTTCTCAAAGGTCTGCTTACTATGTGGAATTTCACAGTTGATATAGTTGCTATTTGTGGTCTCAACAAAGAGGGCTAAGAACTTCATCTAGCAGAAGAGTTCAGGTCCTGGTTAAGGCTGGGATGTAAGAGAGGGAAAGTTCACAGTGGTGTAGTCCATGCTGTGTGTGTTTTGCACAAGGAATGAACTTAGTTATGTGGAATTTATGCACTAAATCTCAAACTCTCTGAAGCTGACCTTCTGCTTGAAATGCTGTTCTTCTGCATGCCTCAGCTCTGCTTTGCATCTCTCTGAGGAGCAAGGAAGACAATTACTGAGTTTCTCCCACTGTTCACTTCCATTAGGTTCAATCACCCTTTGGAATCATAGGGGTACAGTATGTAAAGGCATTCTGAGTAATGTGTGATTCTCAGTTGTCCCGTTATGAAGTGGAAGCAAAAGCAAACAGGAGCTAAAGCAGACTTTTCTTGAGGCAAGGCAGGAGCAGGCTTGAGGTCCGCATAGCCTGACTTTCAAGCATGTGGGCAGCTGCACTGTAGAGGCTAAACTTTATTACGCCGTAATCTGTTCGAGGTTCATACCATGGCTAGCTCATTTTCAGCCTTCTAGCTTTATATGTATGTTGTGATGGATAAGTGGTTCCTGAGGTTGCTCCATGCACAAGGTAATCTATATGCTGTGTGGCTTTTAAATATATTACTGCCTAAAGGACATTCTGTTGGCTGCCAGTGTGAATGTGCCCAGTGATGTACTTAAATACTAGGTATGCTTGGATACTAAGCACCTTGCATGCTTAGAATAACATTTTCTGAGGCCACAAATGCATGCTTGTGGTATGGAAAATAGGGCAGGCTATACTTTGAGGTAGCTTCCAGGATATTCTTAGAGAGTCTGATTGTCTACATTCTCAGGAAGAGGTTTAAAAATCACAGTATTGGCTAATTCCTACAGACTTCACTAAATCTTGAAATGAAGTTCATTCTCTGCTACAAGGGCTGCTCTGAAAGTAATGCCTCCTATTTAAGTATGCTGGCCCTTAATGCCAGAGGTGGATGCTGGTGATGTGGCAGCAGGTGGTATGGTAGAGGATGAACCTTTCCACCAGTATTCCATTCCAATTTGTTGCCGTGTGACAGATGGCAGCAGAGGGGCAATCTGACAAGATGGCATCTAACATGGAAGTGCATATGAAGCAAAGGTGTGTCACTGAATTCCTTCATGTGGAAAAAATTTACCCATGACATTCATCAGTGCTCGCTGAATGTTAATGTAGCCCAAACAGTGCATGTGAGCACAGTGAGGGGTGGGTGGTTCATTTCAGCAGCGGTGATAGCAATGTGAAAGACAAGCCATGTTCCGGACAACCATTCACAGCTGACACAGCACAAAATGAAGAGCATTTTTATCTGCTCATCAGTGCAAATCTGCAGACTGTGACCAGGGAACTCTGTATAGAGATGAATATCAGCTTCAGTGTGTTGGAAATGATTGTGGCACCGTTGGAATATCACAGATTTTGCACCAGGTGGATCCCCAGATTGCTCACAGAAAAAAACACTGTATGCAAGTTTGGCAGAACCTCTTGAACCAGTACAAGGCTGAAGGTGACAGATTCTCAGATCATATCATTCACAGTTATAAGATGTGGTGTCACCACTACGGCAGTGTGTGGATAACAACATGTTATTCACCATTGAAGAAAAATCCGCCATTGAAGAAAAGGTTTGAGACACAGCTCTCAGCAGGTAAATTGATGTGCATTCTCTTTTGCAGTAGGAAAGGGGTGATTCTTCTGGATTTCCCAGAACCTGCACAAAACCATCAACTCTGTTACATCACAATGCTGGCTAAGCTGAAGGCTCCAACTCCAGAGTCAGACCAGAGAAGACAGCTTTTCTCTTGCAACACAATAACACCATGCCAGTGTGAAAAACATGGAGCACATTGCCACTCTTGGCTGGACTGTTCTATCACTGTATAGTCCAGATTTGGTGCTTTCTGACTTCCATCTGTTTGAGACAATGAAAGATGGACTGCATTTCCTTAGCAACAACACTGTTATAGCAGCTGTGAAACAGTGGGTCACCTCCACGTGCTTGGATTTTTACAAGCGTAGCATGCATGCTCTTGTTCATCACTGCTGAAAATGCATAGCTAATGGTATTGGCTCTGTTGGAAAACAGCACTTTTCAGCAGAGAATTTGCTCTTTCAAATTATTTGCTCCTTGTATCAGCTGTAGTTTCTATGGAAATAAGTAGGAGGCATTACTTTCAAAGTGGCCTATGTCTATACTTATATATTCATACATCATTATATATGCTGCCAAGCATCATATCAGTGCAATTTCTTGTACTCCAAATGTTTGGATAGTTTACTTAAAATTTTCTTTTCTTTAAAAAAAAAAGGGCATGCACTAACCTTAACAAAGTCACAATATTTGTTAGACTTGCCTGTAACAGGCTGTTGTGCTGGATGCCTGTATTTCAGGACTGTTGAAAAAATAATGTTTTTATAATTGGAAAGATGCAAATGTTTGCATTATTGTAATAGTCAGCTAGTTATGCAATAAAATTGCCCAGTATTATCTTTGTCCAATTAAGATATCTGTGCTAGTAAAATTGAGTGACCATACAGCTGACAGTATAATACAATCAGCACTTGACAGTATCTTGCATTTTCACAGCTTTTTTTAAGGGCAGGTAAATCCCATTGCATATATTCATTTGCAATTTCTTTCTATGTATTGAAGTATCTGTACAATTATTTTCAAAGAATTGGTGGCATATAGAGACACAGTTTTATATTGTAATACAGGCAAATTACAAGTATCACATCATATTTAAGGAAAATCAACAGCACTTACCTTGCTGTTCAAGAAATAGTGTAACCGAACAATTTGAATTATGGTATGTTTTATAGCTGCATGTTTAAAGTAGATTAAATAAGGAGAAATAAAAAGAATGGAACATCCTTTGTAGTAATGGGGAAAGGACAGTGCTTATTTAAGTATTATACAGTAGTAGTCAATAGATTTAACTCAATTATATGATTACATCACTAAAAACATGAAAACTTACACACTCTTCTACATTTGCTCAACATTACAGGAATCACTTCACAGTTGGCAGAACATAATCTGCACTGACTGACGGTACATCCAGAGGTGGGGGTTGTTGTAGCAAGTCTCTTAATGATTTGCCAGACTTGTGAAGAAAGCCAAGGAGTGCATAGGCACCAGTTTTCTTCTTGCGGCAGTCCCTAATGGATTCCTGTCTGTGAAGTGCAGGGAATTGCAAAAGTCAAAATCTTGTTCCCTCACTGCTGCCATGAACAGGATTGCCATAGGTAGGGTAAGCAGTGCAAGCCCCATCCCATCGTGGGTAAGCATGCCCTTCAGCTTCAACCAGGGCAAAATTAATATGCCTGTGTAGTTAAACCTAAATTATGCAGCCTCTAAAGAAGCTTTAAGAACTCCCTGTTGCATACAAAATAACCAAAATAGACAGATTTCAGGGTGCCAACTTCAGCCATGCTGCTTAATCCAAGCCAAAATCTGCTGCCGTAACCACAGTGAGATAACTTTATTGACCAAATCAAACAATATGCCTTGTCTCAGTGTGTTCGTGTATTTGGGTGAGAGTGCATAGAGTATTCTGTTTCGAGACAATAAAAATTTAAGGTCCTATCTAGCTTTTTTATCCTGAAAAATGAAAAACAAAACAAAACCAAAACACTAATGGGTGAGATAGAAGGCATGGGATATCAAATCTGGTAAACCAACTTAAGTTAGGGATATAAATGTTTCTTGGAAAAGAGTTTTACATTATGCTGTATTTAATCAGAAAGGGAGTACTAGTAAGACTTACGTTTCCATAAAAGGTCACTTATTTTATCTGCTTCTGTCCTCAGGAGTCCCTTCCTTAACACTTAAAATCTGATTTTCAAAAGTTGTTAATGGTTGTGTAATCCATAGACAGAGGGCGTACCAGTGACTCAGCACTTACATAAAACAAGTAGGGGAGCTGCCTAGCTTGTCCTTGTGCTTGGGAGTTGTGGTCCACCCTTCTTGAACTATCTGGGCAACCTGTACTGTCAGTGGGAGGACTAAGTGCAACTTACGGTCTCCAGTGAGACTGAAAACCAGATGTGAATATGACTGTAGGAGAGCAGATTTCGATTAGCTGCAGATGGTAGGCTATCTATCTCAATATTCAAGAAATAACCAACTGTTCTCAAACACTTGTTAAATTACATGAGGAAATTTGAGCAAAAGGGTTGTGCAAAGAGGGAAACTAAATGAGTTTAACATGAAAGAAAACTTATTAGCCTAAAACAAGCTACAGTTAGCTTAAATGCTTGTAACATGAATGAGCTGAAGGAACTGTCAGGAAGAATGTTTTCTTTTAATTATTTTGCTTTGCCTAACCACTTAGACTGCAACAAAATGTCTCTTTACATTTTCTTATTGCATTTACAGTTAGTCTGTCTTCCAGGGTATAAGTAGAGATCATAAAGAATTTGTAGGAATTATTTTTCTTTTCCATTTATTATCATAGGTTTCTGTTCTGCATGGAATAATAGAAATATTTGTCCTCTTCAACCACTGTATGAAAAAAATGCAACCAGTTACTTCAAACTAGGGAGGCTGACAAAGGTGATGGTCCTTCAGTGTGTACCATGCCATTTACAGTAGGAAGAGTATTATGAGAGGCATTTAATGAAGTCAGAGTAGTCACTCTGAAGATGGCTTTGTCTGTTCGTCGGCTGGAAAAGATATTTAAAATTGCCTGAAGCCTTACAAGCTGTTAAGTGGGTCTAGATCTAGGGGAGGACACTCTTTTCATGTGACTTTCAGAATAATAAACTGATGAATCTATGAGAAGGTCCTTTATTGCTAAATGTTCCAGGAAAATTGCCAGCAATAGACTTTAAAGCTCTAGTCAAGGTGCTTTAAAAATCTAACGTCTTTCTTCAGTAAAATATACCTGTTCACTCTTTAGAGCTATTAATTGCATCACGTTAACATGCAGAATTGGAACACAGCTTTTGGATTTTCTTCTGGTGATGTTATCACCAGTCAGACATCCTCTGAAAAGGTGCTGTTTTTAGTTTAAATTTATCTGATGAAAAGGTCTGTGCAGAACTTAAACCCTATATCAAGATCTCAATTCCAAATCCAGAACATTAAAGTATGTCAAAAAGGTGGCTTAACTTGAAGGACTATACATGTGCTCAAATTGATAATGTACTGATCTTTCAGTGGGACTAAATGTATTACTATATAATGGTGGAGGCTGTTTTCTAGATGTATATGTCGCCCTTTCAGAGCAAGGGTGCATTAATGTAAGGTAGCTCCTCCACTGACTGTAATATAAAACTGAATTGTCTTTACAGAGAAGGCATTGTCTAGAGCCCATTTTTATATTAACTTTGAAAATGCAATACCTGATTAATAAATGATTGACTGATTGATTGATTTATGGCAGTGGGCGGCCCCAAGCTTCAGTGTGGCTGAGGACAGAGGATTTTCACCAACCCACCACTCTGGGTCATGGCACGCTCAGCATACTCTCTCCCAGAGCCAAGAAACCAGAATCTATTCCCCATCCCAGGTATTCTGGCTGTCAGCTGATCAGTGTTGAATTGTTATGTTTAATGCATATTGAGGTTTGTACCCAGAAGAGTTCTATGGAAGATGTTTGAATGAAAAGTAGGAAAACCTTATTAGAGGATATATTTTAAAGTTATACATTTTATTTTAGTAAACTCTATAGTTCCTAGATTGAAAGCTGCTCACTTCACTTAAGGAGCAGTCCCATTCATTTCTGCAGCGTAAGATATGCAGAGCTTTGCTCTTTCAGGGCAGCATACACCAGAGAGGGACAAGTGAGGTCCATTCAGATCCCTTTCAGTCTTCATTATTTCTGTAACTCATTTTTTTGATTGTTAGACCCTTTCAAACAGAATGGCAGATATTGATAAGCACTGCGTTGCAGTAGCAGATTAAATATATTAAACATTTTGCTTTCTTTTCTGTCACATCTTTAGGAGAAAAGCAGTAGCTCAGTATTTCAGTATGAGGATCCTAGGGGAACTAGGAAATCACAGGAAAATCAGTGTGTGCAGTAGTCAATGAAATTCTCAATATTACAATTTCCAAAATCTTTGTTAAGAAAGAGCAAAGGAGATTTCCATCAACCTTAAGTTTAATTAATGAGAATTAGCACAACTGTATGGTTTTTACTAAAGGCACTATTTAATTTAGGTACTAAAATTCCTTTACTTAACCAAGTATAGTCTTTTCTTTTTCTTCCAATATGTTTTTAATGATAAAGTGTGACTGTGTGGCATTACTGCAAGAACAAAATAACATCTTCTTCATGTGACATTCAAATAAATCCATGTAGGAACCTTCACATATATGTATTATTTATGATAAAATATGTGGAGAAAATAGAATTTTATGTCTTCTTGCTGGTAACACAGAACACAGCAGTTAAGCTACATTATTTCAATTTGCTTTTTCTATACTGAATTTGCCTGGAAGAGGAAGATGTCAGAGGAGATCTCATTTTAATACCTCGGCCATAAATGTCTTTCAAGGTTAGAGTAAATCCTTTTAATCTCCATTTAACAGGAATATGATTTTTTTAATTGTGAAGCATTTCATCATGATGTGTGACATTCCCTTATTTTGTTCAACTGGAGTTAAGCAAATTCCTAAATTGATATTAAATAAAGGAAATTTGGAAATTTTATGTGGGCCTAACCTATTCAAGCCTTTTAAAAGCATCATCTGAGTAATACTGAAGATATAGATTCTGTAAACAATATAGCAAAAGAAATTATAGTCTTCAAATAGATGCATTCTATTTTTTCTTTATCAGTCTTTCATGTCTAAAAAGAGATTACTCACTTTTAAATGAGCATTTTAACTGGAACTTTTTTTCACTTGACAGTCCAGTTAAATACTCAACCACGAAATTGTCACTGGTTTCAGTACCATAGAAAAATTGGTATTCCTGATTTTTGTGTTCTGTATTATTAACAATTCTACACTTGATGCCATGTATTTGTTTCTAATGTTTATGCAAGGTAGGTTTACTTTTCCCAACGCATATGCAAATATGTATTTTTTAATTAAAGACATATTTTATATTCCACAGACAATAACCAGTATTAGCTGCAGGCCAAAGAATTATCTGTTAATCTTTTCTCAACTTTTCTTTGAGACAGAAGACACATCAATGAGGAGTGATGTGTTAGACTGGAATTCTGTTTTTCTTAGCTTTGTATGATTTTTTACAGCCCAGTTAGCACAGGGCTCCATCACTGCACAGTGTAAACTTATTGTTTCACTTACCTTTCTTTTGATGGCGTATGTCTTCCCAAGGATTGATTTTCTAAGAGTCATTCTGAACTGCCAAGTAATTTTTAATACTTGTGGTTTTTTTGTTGCCAGCTTCCTGCTTAAGTCATATACTGTTTGTACAATTGAAATGTAGCTATTCCAGGCAAAATCACTGACTCTGAAGAGGAAATTCTGCAGATAAATGGAGCTTAGCTATACAAGAAAAAATAATTATTCAGTTGTTTCAGTTATTTCAGTATTTATGATTCTTTGTAATAAGAATTTTGGGTTTTTTTCTACTGTATTTTAAATGTTAGCTGTAAGATACAGTCTACACTGAATGGAAGATTCCATACTGATGATAGTATATTTTCATTAAAAATATCCTGCGTAGCTGAAGCCAGACCTTGCACGTCCCTACAATATTTTGGTGGATGCGCTTTCACTGAATAATATCTAGAAAAATCAAATGTGATGGCTGAGCTCCATTAAACCCAAGCTAATCATCCCACACTCCTTAAAAATACACATATACTTGTGTGATGACATATCTGCATCGTGCTGGTAATTATCTGTACTTGCATATATCTGTACATGTACATGAATGTGAAATGAACTCACAGCACAGCATAGACCTAGGAGATGCTGCTGCCTTTAAGCACAATGTCTGAAGAAACAGAGATTGGGATTTGCTAAAGGAATAAACCTTTGTGGTTTGAGCTGTGAGCTTAGAAAATAGCTGCAGCTATGATTGACTATGGCTTTTCCCCTGAGGGCCTTAAAGGCGCGATGGTGCTTTCCTTTAACATTCAGCTATGTAATAAGCAGTATTTCAGCAAGCAAACTCAGAACTGATTCTTCTCAATTACCAGCTTGAGTTTTGCGGAAGGCGACGCCATTCTTATCCAAAACCTGCTTGTCTCAAGAGATGCTGATCATAGTTTGCCCAAATTCTTCTCTTGGATGACTAATACAAATGTGATGCCAAAGCATCTACTGCATTGGCAGTAAGCTTTTGTGTTTCAGTTGAAAACTCCATTCCATTTTTAGGTGACAAAGTGTAGATTTAGAAGACAGAAATTTAACCTCAGAGTTGCATTAAGTCTGTCTGTAAAGTACTCCACCTTTTGAATTTCTCTGAAGTAAAGAAAATTGAAAATGCAGCCCAGGAGTCAGTATCTTTACCTTAGAGCCTTCCTTCTGAAGGGAATTACATCTTACTGAAGTTTCTGAAACATCCTTAGGGTAGAGAGTTGGAAGGGGTATACAGAAGTGGAAGGTCACATCTACAGAATTTTCCCTCTGAAAGCACAATCCTTCAGAATAAGCCTACGGTTTAGTTCTTGAATACAGTGTATACCCAAAAAATTATCTGCATGTCTTTTTGAACTGGGAACATTACTACTCTTCTTAAGTAACGTATGAAAATTGTAAAATATGCACGTAAATAGCATCAGTTACTAGCAGACAAAGTGTAACTTAATTCAGATGTTCAATACAGGAAAAAATCCAAAAATTCTTTAGATAGAAGTGTTGTCTTGTAACAATATATGCTAGGGCAAACCGATTTTATTCACATCAATGCTATTCTCAAAAATTCATTTGAGAAATAAAACTACCACATAAGTGCAGCAATACAATCCTAGTGCAGCTATCATAATCTTAGCTCTTCAGGGTCCTGTGAGGAAATAAAAGTGTTTGTTTAATATGGCTAGTTCATGCAAATATTGTCAGATTTTGTTGAAATATTAAGCTGGTATGTCAGTGGCAAGTTCTCAGTTCTTTGATGTTCTGTCTGACCTAAAAATAGGCAGCGACAGAATTGCTGGGAAGTCCTCTGTGTTTGTTTTGTCTCATCACCCTAAAACTGCTACCTGATAACCAAAGTGGCCTAAATATGTATTTTGAAAAGTCTCTTGTAGTACACATGCTTTGTTCTGAGTTCTTTTACTTAATTTATAAGATTATATAGTTCATTTTGATAGAAGAGCTGTAGATGCTTCCTGAAAGAAGGAGAAATGGAAAGTGTTATTGACAGTTTCTTAATTCGTTTTATTACTTTTATTTTTACAGTGTACTTACAAAGAAAGCTGTGGTTCCCCCAGAGTAAAAGTTACAGGCTTTGGTGCAATACTGTGTTGCTTTTTGGGTTAACAATACTAAAATTCTCATTTACTGAACTAAAGACTCCTAGTGGTATTTCAGTAAAAAATAATATGCATTTCTCTTTCTTAATGTCTGTGCATGCTGATTAACTACATGTTCAAGGATAAACGCCCCTAAAACTCATGCAGCTTAGTAACAATCACTCAGATCTCTAACTCTAATTTAAACGTACTTTGCAAGAACTTCTGAGTGGAAATCAGAGACAGCAGGGCATTATCTAGGGATTTTTCTGCAGATTCCTTGTTTGTCAGACAGTTGCACATTTGAATGAAGCAATCCCCAATGTTCAGCTGCAGTGCTGCTCTTTAGGAGGCACAGAATCCTGTTGCTATTTTGTCACAGCCATTGTCCATAAGCCTACCATTTTCATCAGAAACAACTGTGCAAGTTTGGTTCTGATAGTGATTTTATTGTGGTTTAGCAGGTATAACAGAAGAGCTGTATTTGTTTGATTTATGATTCGGTATATAAGTAAGAGTGAGGGTTGTTGATTGGTTTCTAGTCTTTATAAAGATGGTGGGCTTAAGAAATAATCCCTGTGCATAAAACACTAATTGTCCATAAAATTTTGACCCTGGCAAGAGCAAGAGATTGCATTTCTAGGGCATGGATATGTTAAGAGAGATTAAATTGCATTACAAATGACAATACAAGTCAAAAATTATTGTAAATGATTTCTGAGACATAAGTTTTCTATTGTTTACTACATGGAAGCAAAAATAGTTCTTCGAGATTTTTATCATTTAAATTGTAATTTACATAATTTATGCAGGGGAAATGGGAAGAGAACAGAAGTCATAGCTGAAGGGGCAGATACTGCCATCATTTCCTGTAAGATAGATTCAAATAACTTCATTTCTGTATGAGAGGCAAAGTGATACTTTGAGAAATGAATTTATTTCTTTTTATTGCTGTGTTTTGAAAGGTTTATTTGGTTGCATATAACCTCAGTGAAATGAATGATGAACTCTGCTGTATCTCAAGACTTGCCCTTCATGCTTTGCCTCACGTGCAGTTCCCCTTTCTAACAGCTGTTTTATTCATCACATTAGGTGTTGTCGTCCTCCCAACTCACCCAACAGGAAATCAATAATT